ATCGAGGTAAGTGTTTTGTCTAACCTTAGCTTGAGGGATTAGGAGTTGTGTCCTATTTGCTATCTGCTTCTTGTCGAGTACGACGTATAGGCATGGTGACGAGTATCTATACGTTGGTGTCAAGCATGACCGTGGGTCTTATATGGTGATTTTCATGAATTCGTTGTATTATTCATGCCTTGGTGCTTATTTCTAATTGTTGTATAAAGTTTGTGGGAAGCATTGTGATCTATGAGCATTGAGGAGCGTTGGCTCAAATTATATAGTGAAAATTTAAAAGTATAAGTGACAATCAAACCTCTAGAGCATTGGCTCGAGTTGTGAAGTGAATTGTGAAGTAAAAATTGAGAAAAGAGAATAGATCATTATGTTGTCACCCTTGCCGGGCTATTGTTGATTTAAATGTTGTTCCCTTGCCGGGATTTAATTGTTTAATTGTTGTTTCCTTGCCGTGATTTAATTGTTTAACTGTTGTTCCCTGGCTGGGATTTCTATTATTATTTTGTTTATTCCCTTTCCCCTCTGTTTGTGATTGTTGTTTGGGTGAGAAAGAGTGTAAAGTACGAAGGGTGATGCCGTGCCGCACGACGTACTATTCCGTGCCGATTATATTGATTATATGGTGAGGAAAGAGAGTAAAAGCACGAAGGGTGATGTCGTGCACATTTTGATTATATGATTGTATTGGTAAGGATGAGAGTAAAATCACGAAGGGTGACAACGTGCATATTTTATTATATAACTGCTTTGGTGAGGCTGAGAGTAAAAGCACGAAGGGTGATGCCGTGCAATGGTTGATTTCTGCTTCCTTGTTGATATTCTAGTTATGTTTCTTTCTTTACTTGATGTCTTTCTATTCGGAACTATTATCTTCCCCACAGCATGTTTCCCCCTCCCATACTTGACTATATATGACTGCTTCTTTCTGTACTTCTTTTCTGCTTTATTTAGTTAAATTGCACAGGTTTATGTGGTAGTCTGGTCCTAGCCTGGTCACTACTTCGCCGAGATTAGGCTAGGCACCTACCAGCACATAGGGTCGATTGTGCTGATGCTACACTCTGCACTGTGTGCAGATCCAGGAGCAACTTTCGGACAATAGTTGGAGGGCTTCCTTCAGTCCACTTGAAGACCCAAGGTAGACCTGCAGGCGTCCGCAGACCCTGGCGTCTCCCTCTACCTTTCTTTCCTGTTTCATTTCCTTTTGTTCAAAAACAGTGTATTGTATTTCTTCAGACCTTGTATGTAATAACTCTTAGATAGTCCGTGACACCACGTTTTGTGGTATTTGAGGTTTTTAAAAGTTGTAATAGACGTAGCCTTAAGATATATAATTGTTGACTTCCGCTTATTTTTTTAAAATTCCGCTTCTATCATATTATCGGTTTGTGTTGGTTAAAAGAGGAAAATCCGGGTCGTGACATCTCCGCCCTCAAACTCGACGAAACCCTTAGAGCCTTCCTCATCCTCGGGGTCCACCAACTTCTTAGCCTCATTCTCGAGCCTCTTAGCATTTTCGATCTCGGCCAATAGGTCAAAACCCCGGGCATGAACTTCCTCTAAAGCCTCTTTTTGGGACTGCCACTTCACGTATTCGATAGTGACTCTCAAGCTGTCCTAGCTGCCTCAACGTCAGCTCTGTACTGGGCCACTATCTCTTCAACATCAGTCCTGGTTATTTCCGTTATTGACTTAAATATTTTAAGCTCCTTGCCAAGGGCATCACGTTCAATGATAGTCGAGACCAGTTGAGACTGGAGGTCTTCAATTTTCTAGGACCGGGTATCCACTTTTCCTTCGCCGCTTGAAGTTGGATCTCTGTCGAGGCCAGCTGCTCCCAGGCAGTCTCCTTATTTTCCACTCTTTGGCCTCGGCCTTGACCACGTCCATCTCGTCTCGAAGTTGGTCAATCCGGCCAAGCTTTTGCTAGACCTACGAGTTTTGACCGTTAGTAGCCATATCTAACTCATCATCACTAACTTCAAAGATCTATACATGTTCCACTAGGTCAGTATTTTCTTTCTGAGCTACTTCCAACTAACCTGGAGATTCATGAATTCTCCTTCACGTTGTCCGCTGAGAAGCTTATACATGTCCCTCTTCTCAGCAATTTCTTTGACCTCGACCTCAAGTTGACTAAGCACATCCCGGTACCATAGAAAGGTTTCATGGTGGTGCACCAAGGCCTGTAATGTGTGAAAAAGAAAAGGCATTAGATTCATCAAAAACTAAATTCTAAGATAAAAGAGTGTGATAACACCTTACCTGATCCAGTTCCTATTGTGCTTCGTTGAACAAGCATGACGCATCCATCTCGTTCATTTTTGCCTGGTCTTCTTTGGTAACCAGGCACTGGAGGTAGCTAGCTACCTCGACAGGGGCAAAAAAAATTTGGGCATCCTCCGGGACGGTGATAACAACTGATCGCTTCCGGCCAGAATCTGTATTCGGAGCGAGAAGCTGGTTGATCAACCTCGTGCTCAAGATCGGCCCACTGGCCTCCGAGGATGGACTCTTCCTCGGTACCTCTAAGTCACTCAACCTGGATAAGTCTTCCAGGATGGTTGAGTCTACACCATCAAAGAAGGTTAGAAGAGGATCGTCCGCTCTATGAACCCCTTCATTGGATCGCCCCTTTGTCGCTCGGGCTTCATCAAACATGAACTCTGTGAACGAGGGCAATCCTGAAATTTCTATAACATCGGGAGGGGCGGAGCCGGCCTCTCGAGTGGCCTCGACCCTCACCTCTGTGCCAGCCTCTTGTACTTGAGGGGGATTAGCCTCTGTCATTTCCCCCTCGACTTCCACCCGTTCCTTGGGGACAGACGGCTCACAGGCCATAAAAAATTTGGCCTCGTCGGGCTCGTCCCTGAGTCAGTAAAGCAAGTCCAAATCAGGCACTCAGTAGCTGGAGCTTTCCTTTAGCTTACGAGTGAAGGCACTCGAGAGCTAGAGCTTTCCTTTAGCTTACGAGTGAACTTTATCTTAGGCTTCTTTTTTTCGAGCTCGGGGATCTCGGATCCCTCTTTCTTTTCTTCTCCCCTGTTACTCGGGGATGCCCTGAAGTAGAAGGATCGGCGGGTAAGTCTTCACCCCCTACTAAGGGCCTAAGTTCGATGGTTCTAGGCAAACCTGCAAAAATGAGAAGAGAAGGAACGAAAACATGGTGTTGTAAAGGAAAGCTTAGTGCTATTTAACTAAGGAAAGAACTCTTACCGTGAGAATGAGCCTCTCAGTGATCCTTCGAAAGCTCGCTCGATGAGTGCTGGGCATAAGGCATCTTCGAACAAATGTTTTTGATCCACTCCTTAAGCTGAGGGATAGCATTTGGGACTCGAGCAAGGGCTGCACCATAGCAGGCACCGATGAGAAAAGGGAAAATAAAACATAAAATTGACGTTTAACAAGTAGTTATACTTATGTGATACGTTCCATTTCTCAGAGAACGACCTCCACTCGGCAAGTATCAGGTCAGCGGTCCTCACCCGGATGAAGCGTCCTTGCCAACCCCAATTTCGGTCCTCGTCGATACTAGAAAATGGGGCTCACTGGACTGGCGTACAAGATTTATCAGTCCCCCCTGGAATATTCGGGGACTGTACAAGCGGAGTAGATGATCGATGGTGAACTTGCATAAATCGATTTTTCCCCAAAGAATCAGAGGAGGACCACGATCCTCCACAACGATGGGTAGATTTGGCCTAGGCATACTTTGTACCTCCTATAAAAGTCCAAGATGACAACATGGGGGGTAATGTCGTTGTCAGGCCCGGGAATCACTACGTCCTGATCCATCCAGCCGCAATCCTTTCGAACTACAGGAAGAACGGCCTTAGTAATAGAATAGATGTACCGTGACACCACTTTGTATCAGCCTTGAACCGAAGAGGGCCTTTCGAACTTGAATTCTTTATTAACTGAACACCCCCCGGGGACAAACATTTTCAAGGAGGGCTCGACCGCTGGTTCATCAATGGCCGCGCCCGGAGCAGACCTCTCGAGGACAACCACATTGAAAGCCGTCTCCTCAACCTCAGTAGTGGGTTGTGAAGAAGGAGCATTTTTTGGGGGGAACGGTCTTGGAAGTCTTCACCATTTTTATCTAAGAAAAGCTAGGAAAAAGATGAGGAAAAATGAAGGGTAAAGTTCGGCAGTTTGGGTAGAAGATGATTAAAAGTTTGAAACTCACTGAAATTTCTTAAAAACGGAGGTAAAAATGCCAAAGTATGAAGAAGGATAGAAAAATCGAGGGTAGAAGCTTGAACATAAAGTGAAAAATGAACGAGGGGAAGGGATATTTATAGAGGCCTTATAACGTTTCACGCCCAAAGGTAGATAATCGGTGGTTGACGCGCGTTTAAGGTCATAATAACATGATTGACGAGACGTTTCAGGTCCTTTGTCGTTTTTGTCATGATGTAATTGTAGTTGTAGTTGTAATTACATGTGAAGGCTATAATGCTAGAGATGGTGTTCGGCGATGGTGGTTATATGGTAGTAGAAGTGATAGATGACATTTAAAGTAGTTGGTAATAATGGTGATGCTCGTCAAGAAGTATTTGTATATGGTAGTACTATAATAGTTAAAATCAGAGGCAAATCTTGGATTTATCTAGTATATGGGTCTACTATGAAAAAAAAGAAAAAATTATATTAAGTGAGAAGTGATCCCTTTTTCTCTTAGTAAATAACCCAACCTTCAACAAAGTGTATAATTCAACCTTCTTGGAGTATCGATGTCAAAAATTAATATTATACCAATTTTAAAAAATATGTACATAAAATATTTAATTTTACAGAGAGATCATGAGTTTGCGTGCCTCATTATCTCCCTATAAAAGTCGTACCTGAGTAAATGTCATGTTCATAAGAATCTTTAGGTTTAAAACGCCTTAAAAAAAATTTAAGACTGCAAAATTTGAATGAATCAAATTTTTTAAGAGCAAATACGTGATGAAACTTAACGAGATCTAAATGGTTCAAATTATAACATTCAGACATGAAAAAATTAAGGTCTTACTCCCTTTTAAGCCATTTACATAAATATTCATAACAAATATTGGCGATTTACCGAAATATAGTCAGAACTCAGAATATATGTAGTTCTATTAATTAGTAGAGGTTTGAATATATGAATCGTTCATATCTCACCCCATCGAATGCATGTGCATTTTCTCTTATGATTAACCACTTATTTTCTATGAAAAAGTTAGATTCATTTGATCTAGTATAAGTATTTAAAATAAATAAGATATTGGTCATTCAAAGGTTCGTGTTGTAAGTTATAACGTTACTTATTTATTATTTATCCGAAATATTCAACCTAAACTTATTATCCGAAATATTCAACCTAAACTTACTTTAATTTTCCCAAGTTCAATCTATATAACTCTATTCTACCTATGTTCAAGTTGCTGCACATGTTTCTTGTGATCGGTTATTAATGCTTGCTGCCCAACTTCTTTATTCTTAAGTTGCCTAACTTTTTCCTTTCTTCTTTTTCCTGTTTTACCTAACATTTGCTTTTGCTGCGTCGTTCTATCTTTTGCAACTAGCTTAGGATGGCTGTTAATTACTCCCTTTCCAAGGGCATCACGTTCATCGATAGTCGAGCCTAGTTGAGACTGGAGGTCTTCGATTTTCTAGGATCGGGTCTCCACTTTTCCTTCGCCACTCGAAGTTGGATCTCTGCCGAGGCCAGCTGCTCCTAAGAAGTCTCCTTCTCCGAAGCCAATCGCTCCATTTTGCCTTTCCATTCTTCGGCCTTGGCCTTGACCACGTCCATCTCGGCTCGAAGTTGATCGATCCGGTCAAGCTTCTGCTGGACCTATGAGTTTTGACCGTTAGTAGCCATGTCTAACTCATCATCACTAACTTCAAAGATCTATACATGTTAAACCAGGTCGGTATTTTCTTTCTGAGTTGCTTCCAACTAACCCGGAGATTCGTGACTTCTCCTTCACGTTGCCCGCTGAGAAGCTTATGCATATCCCTCTTCTCAGCAAGTTCTTTGACCTCGACCTCGAGTTGACTAAGCTCATCCCGGTACCGGATAAAGAATTCATGGTGGAGCACTGAGGCATTCAAAGTCTGAAAAAGAAAAGGCATTAGAGTCATCAAAAACTGAATTCGAAGATTAAAAAGTGTTATAACACCTTACCTGGTTCAGTTCCTATTATGCTTCGTTGAACAAGCATGGCGCATCCACCTCTTTCATTTTTTCCTGGTCTTCTTTGGTTACCAGGCACTGGAGGTAGCTAGCTACCCCGATAGGGGCAAAAAAAATCTGGGCATCCTCCGGGACGGTGATAACAACTGAATGCTTCCGGCCAGGATCCGTGTTCGGAGTGGGAAACCGGTTGATCAACCTCGGGCTCAAGATCGGCCCACCGGCCTCCGAGGATGGACTCTTCCTCGGTACCTCTAAGTCACTCAACCTGGAGAAATCTTCCAGTATGATTGAGTCTACACCATCAAAGAAGCCTAAAAGAGGATTGTCCGCTCCATGCACCCCTTCATTGGATCGCCCTTTAGTCGCTCGGGCTTCATCGAACATGGACTCTGTGAATGAGGGCTATCTTAAAATTTCTATAATACCGGGTAGGGTGGAGCCGGCGCCTCGAGTGGCCTCGACACTCACCTTTATGCCCACATCTTGGACTTGAGGGGGATTAGTCCCCGTTGTTTCCTCCTTGACTGCCTCACGTTCCTCGGGGACAGACGGCTCACAGGCCAAAATTTCAGCCTCATCGGGCTCGTCCCTAAGTCAGTAAAGCAAGTCTGAATCAGGCACCCAGAAGCTGGAGCTTTCCTTTGGCTTACGAGCCAACTTTCTCTTGTGCTTCTTTTTCTCCGAGCTAGGGGAACTTGGAGCCCTCTTTCTTTTCTTCTCCCCTGTTGCTCGGGGCTGCCCTAAAGTAGAAGGATTGGCGGGTAAGTCTTCACCCCCTTACTAAGGGCCTAAGCTCGATGGTTCTAGGCAAACCTACAAAAATGAGAAGAGAAGGAACGAAAACATGGTGTTGTAGAGGAAAGCTTAGTGCTATTTATCTAAGGAAATGGCTCTTACCGTGAGAACGAGCCTCTAAGTGATCCTTCGAAAGCTCGCGCCATGAGCGGTGGGCATAAGGCATCTACGAATAAATGCCTCTGATCCACTCCTTGAGCCGAGGGATGGCGTTTAGGACTCAAGCAAGGGTTGCACCATAGCAGACACCGATGAAAAAAGGGAAAATAAAACATAAAATCAATGTTTAAAAGGGATTTATACTTACATGATACATTCCATTTCTCGGGGAACAATCTCCACTCGGCATGTATCAGGTCAACGGTCCTCACTCGGACAAAGTGTCCTTGCCAACCCCGATTCTAGTCCTCGTCGATACTAGAAAATAGGGCATTACTGGACTGGTGTACAAGCTTTATCAGCCCCCCCCCCCCCCAAAAA